CTTATCGCTTATTTGGTGGTACACGCTTTGTTATTTGTCCAAATTGATTGATTTCCGATAAGAAGAATCGCTTTTGCCGCTTTCATTTTTTATACATATGGTGAATGGGTAATTGCAGGGGCAATAACGATAACAAAATCTCTAGTTCATATCTTTTGAGAATAACAGATGTTGATTAGCATTTGTAATGGAAATATTGCTGCAGAGTGAGGACAACATTTTGAAAAGTATATACCTCCAAAATGTGTGGCCCCCTTTTTTGTGTTGCTGTTTTCTAAGGCCACGCTTTTTTGAGTATTGATATCTGAAAAATTCTTCGGCTAAAGCGATACGATAATCACAATATTAGGTCAAAAATTTCCTAAAATTTATGGCCAAAGTTCAATTGCCGCAATAAAAAGAGCGTACGCAGTATTAAACCAAAACGAAACACGGCATTTTTGTGGAACTCAATTATGGTGTACATTTTGGAGGATAGGCAAAAAATCAGGTATAGAAATTATTAAAATACCTAATTTCGGGAGGCATCGTTATATGAAGGCTACAATATCGTGGACCCATCAATTCTCAACTTTAAGAAATTTCTTTGAAAATTGTCGGTAGACACCGTTGTTTTGGGGCCTGTAAGAAACAGTGGAACCAGAGGCATCACCAGATCACCAGATGCATTACTTTATACGGAGGGGAAAGTATTTTTTAGTATAGTTCTTTTAGCCACATTTCTCAATGTAATTGCTTTAAATGTTGTAAGGCAATAGTGAACCTATACAAATCATCTTCGAACTTGATCTAAGTCCGGATCATCGATATTTGTGCGATATTTGTGCAAAATTTTAGCACACTTTCTTATACTTTCAATGAAGTTCAGCCATTCAAAGATTTGGGCTAATTTGCTGAACTGCATTGAAAATATGAAGATAGAGAGCTGAAATTTCGCAAGATTCTGTATTTGGTCATCTTAGCAACCCAAAAGTCAGATGTCCGACAAGTTTGGTATTAGGATCACTTTGTGTGTAGCTTTTAGATAAGAAGGTAGATTTAAAAATTCTTAATATATAGTGAACGATATGTACTAAATGAATATAAATTAATAACAAAATTTTCCCAAGAGTAAAGTCAGAATTTACAAGTACGGATATTAAGACTACGGGCAGATAAAGGTGGATCGGGTCAGCTAACTTGTATTTATTAACTGGATTTGGACAGCCATCTGGCTAAAGAGGTTATATATAATTTGATACGGCCAAAACGTGCCTCATCGAAATAACCCTAGGTCTCTTTGGAACAAATCCGTTTCGATCTAACGATGTCCGTCCGTCGATCCGTCTGTGTGGCTGGCTGGTGCGCCCTACAACTCTCGAAGGCAGTATCCGATTTGGTCCAAACTTGGTACATCTTAATATTATCATCAAACGTAGAGTTCGGAGATGGGCAATGTCGGTACACTCCTTCCGGTACCTCCCACACAAAAGGTCGACATTTTCAAAGAAAATGTTTTACTGCACAGAGAGAGAAAGGACCATTTGTTTTTGCTCTAACTTTGTAATGTTAAATAATTACAACTCTTAAAAAATCTGATGAAAGAGTCCGGTTGTCTTCAAATTTCACACATCCCAATAATTTTATCAAGGTCTGGTGCTAAGATGGTATATATCGGTTCGCTCCTTTCAGTACCTTCCCCACAAAAGGTCGAAATATCCATGAAACTCATAAACCGCGTAATAAAGATTCTATTCCATTTAGACTTGGCACATTTGATTATTCCCATCAACACAGGATCTGTTAAAAAAAGGTAGAGATCGGACCATTTCTTCTGTTACCTCCCCCACAAAGGGTCAAAGTTTTGAATAACCAAAATAATTGTATAGTCCGTTCTCTTCACGTTTCTCACATCCAATTATCTCTACTAACACAAAATTCGCTGTAAGGGTAGAATATATCGTTCCACTCCTTCTGGTACCTCCCCCACAATGAGTCAACCTTTTTAATATCCATGGAGCTCAACACGAAATTAACATCCAATTTCATTCAGACTTGGCTCATCTCAATCTTTCTATCAGCACAAGATCTGTTATAAAGATGTTAGGGATTGGACCATTTCTTCTGGTACCTCCCCACAATTTCATACTTCACCCAATACCAAATTTAAAACCATTTAGTACTTTTCACTTAGTACACATTTCCAAAAACCAAATTCATTCGTCAACTTTACTTTCCAAACCTTGATTGTCCTACCAAATTTCAAATTCTATGCTATAGCCGCTCACATAATACCACCAAATTGGTGCCATTTTAGAAGTTTAGTACCATTTTTAGTACATTTCGTAACCTTAAAGTTTGAATTTCCAACAACCCTTTGGTATATCTATTCTGCTCTCCATCAGTGAGTCTCATTCCAAATTTCAATTCTGGTTCATTCCGTTTGCCCAAAACAAAGTATTAATTTTTGAGTACATTTCGTACTTGACGTACCCTTTTAGTATGAATTTCCAAAAATTAAGCCTTGTCACGCGTCTTCTCCCCAAGACTGACCTGGTGCAAAATTTCAAGATTCTAGCCGTTTCGTCTGGGAGTTGATTCGCAGTCGGTCAGTCAGTCTGTCAGATATTTCACTAATACCCTTGGAGGTTCAACAAGATAATCCTCGTGTTTTTATCAGCAATATTGCCGAAGACACTTTACATTTTAGGATTCCAAGAAATATTAATCCGAAAAGGGTGTAACATTTTATGAGACTTATAATTATTCAGAAATTTGGTAATTTCTGGGGACGTAACTAGAAGAAGAGATCTGCTATATTCTATTTTTACACCAGATCTTGTGTGGGTCAAACCAAGTCTAGGCTTTTATTTCATATTTTATAAGTGTTTGATTATTCAAAAATTTAAGCCTTTTGTGGGGGAGGTACTTAAAGGTACACCGCTAGTTCGGTGAAACTGTTTAAGCTTTTCGGGGAGAGGTCCCAGAAGAAGTGTTCCGATATTGCATATCTTCAAACTCGATCTAAGATTGGTAAAAGTATTACCATGTAGCAAATTTCTAACGAATCGCATAATCCCTTCGATGGTTATGGTGTATACCAGCCAGCAAGACAATCTGTTTGCCAGATGGATGGACACCGTTAGATCGACTCCAAATGTCCTGAAACGGATGTCGTCCAAAGAGAGAACAGTTATTTCGATGAGGCATATTATTGGATGATAGCTATAAGGCTGATGGCATGATAATAAATTTTTAAATATTTTGCGGGTCGAATTTCTAAAAAGGATCTGCAAGGACTTTCTCACCCATACAAACACAACAATGGAATATTTGGTTTCTGGCCCATAAACCGTTTGTCTTTCATTTCCACTTATTTTTTCGAATTATTATTTAGTTGCAAAACTCAAAACATTTTCAAAACCAGTTGTTGATGCAAATTAGTTTTGGTTTTAAATAACTTCAACCACCAGAACATGTTGTTAATTTAAATTTAGTTACTTTGTTTTAAAGATTTTTTTTTTTTATAAGGAAATCGGCAAATAAAAGTGGTTTGCTCTTTACACAAAAGTAATACCCAGTGACGGGCAGTGCATTTTTTTCGTTTCTTGTTTACCTTGAAAGAGCTGCTGCAATTCTACCAGTCAGTCAATGGATCGATCGATCTGGGAGGTGGGACTGTTATTATTTTTTACTATTGTTGTTGGTAATACTACAAGTTCCTGATTTAACACACACACACAGAGACTTTCTCGAAAAATGATAGTTGATGGCGGTTTCTTGCTTTTTGATGTTGGCGAACGTTAGAGCACAAACCGCTTGTATCGGTTTTTTTCTTTTTTCTATTTTTTGTGGTATTACTGTTGGAGTTGCTGGTTGATCGGTCGGTCGATTTGTCCAACACTTACTTGAATTTTGAAAATAAAATCACGTTTTTTCGCTTAAAAATCAATACCGTCCTAAGCTTGCGAGTCACCGTCAACGACTGAGAGTTGAAGTGCGTTGCTGGTTCGCACCAACTGGCAGGCTGGCTGGTTGGGTTGGCTCACTGGCAGCTGCCTGCCTGACAAGCGTTTAACGTTTATTGCAAGCGTGCGAAGCGACGTCGCAATTTGTATTAACAGAGCAGAAGCATCGCCCGCAACAAACCAGCACAAGCTACTGCTAATCTCTGTTTTCAACTCTGCAGCCAATCTACAGCTGTTTTTTGCTGCCGCCGCTTTCGAAATTCAAAACTAGTCGAAAAAATTCGGTTTCACTTATTTGCGCTCGTTGAGCGTTTACAAAAGTAACGTTAGATGGCAGAGACAGCAAGCCCCAGCCAGTTGATCGCACGACAATTTTTTCTCCGCTGCTACCGGGATCTAGAATCCACTTGTCGAACGTTGGAAGTTTTCCTTTTGCTCCACAAAAATTTCAATGTAGAGCAGTTTTGTTTTATGATCCGCTTGTGGTTTATCTTTTGTTTGGGTGGCTTTTTGTTGTTGTCGTTGTTGCCAATAACACCACAGTAGCAATTTAATGAAACTACAAATTTTCGATTTAACACCGATTAAAACGACATTGATCGGTTATTTTATGTTTTATGGTGGCCAGGTATTATCGCCAAAGAAATAAACAGTTGACGTATTTGGCGGAAAATACAGGGGAACCTACTTTTTAACAAATGAAAAATGCATTATTTAAAATGGCTATAACTCCCTAAATGATGATGATCTTTATAGACCAGCTGGAGGCCCGGTGGTCTCTATAGACCAGCTGAAGGCCGGATGATCCCTATAGACCAGCTGATGGTCAGTGGGTCTCTATAGACCAGCTAATGGTCAGTGGGTCTCTATAGACCAGCTGATGCTCAAATTGTTTTTATAGACCATCTGACCTTCAGCTACCACGTCTAATTGAATTAGGGAAGTTCTACTCTAGGTTCTACTGTGTAGGAGAATTGTCATATTCTACAAAAAAATAAAATAAGTTCGAACCCTTTCATATTTTCTAAAATATCTTTCTCTCTTCCCAGCAAAATGGCCACATCCAAGCCCTCGGTGACTTATGTGGACTACATAACCGATGAAGAATCTCCACCGCCAGAAACACCCAAAAAGAAACGCCTCACCAAGGCCGAGAAAAGGGAACGGAAAATGAAGGCCGAAATTGAGTTCCGCAAAATGGAAATGTATGTAAGTTGGAAAATTAGATTTTCTCCAACAACCATAACTCCAAGATATCCTTTTCAAGGACAACTTGAGACGCGAATTGGCATTGGCCAAACAAAGTTCGTTGCGTGGTCAGGAGGAATGGACGGACATGTGTAGGCAAATCAAATTGGTGCAAATGCAAGAGGAGTTGCAGGTAAGTCCTACATGAGATACCCCTATTAAAAAATTATTCTAAAAAGGTGTACCTCATGTAGTCCTGGGAAGCTAAAACCAATCGGGTCCTAACCCAAAAGGATGATAAAATTGCCTTAATTCTTGAGGAAATCAGGGAAACGGAGGAGATGCACAAACGCAACTTTGGAATGCAATTGAAGATTATGGACTATTTGAGTGGTAAGGAATATTAGACCAGTAGAAGGTCAGATGGTCTCCATAGACCAGCAGAAGGTCAGATGCGCTTTAAAGAGCAGCTAAAGGTCAGGGGGCTATATAGACCAGCTGAAGGTCAGATGGGCTATATAGACCAGCTGGAGGCCAGACGGTCTATATAGACCAGCTGGAGGTCCGGTGGATCTACACAAATCAACTGACAGCTAGATCTTCAGCACGTCTTTTGTTGATCTTCAGCTAGGGTGACGCGCTGACCTGCAGTCAGGCCGAAATGATAAATTCCTTTTTTTCAGACATTTTTAAGGTATTTCAAAATGTCGCCAAACTCCACTACGAAGACCAGGCAGTCGAAGTACTCCTCGACTTTTACAATGAAACCGAAGAAAAGAAGCAAATTGAGGACAGCTACCAGCGAAACTGTGAAAATATTATGCATGCCACAAATCTCGTAACTGCCGAAACCCTACGCGAAGATTTCGAAATTTACCTCGACAAACGAAATGACCAGGTCAATACGGAAATTGAAAAGCGCTATATCCTACGTGATGCCACTGCAAAGAAAATGCAAAAGTTACACAAACAATTATTGCAATTTTTGGATACGATACGAAATGCCTCACTGGATCCGCATAAGGATGAAAGGGTCAGAACGTTAGTGGAACGCCAGAGAACATTTGTGGTGGAATCGAAAAAATTGAATGATACGGAAAGGAAGTTTGGACGCCAACATGAAGATTTGCGGGACGAAATTGTGAATGAAGAAGCGGAAGCTCAGCGCAAAATCAACGATTTAAAATTGGAACAAAAATATTTTTGGACTTGCGTAAAGAAATTGAAGAGAGAATGCAGCGGAACGCTTCGGATATGCATGATAAGTTGAAAATTGTAACCAGCGAGTGTTATGGGATTTCAAAGGTGAGTGCAAGCCATTGATTCCCCCGAGAACGATCTAAGCTTATATAGGCCGCATGGTATTCAACTGGTCTATATATACCGTCTAGGTCTTCATCTCGTCTACATAGACAGTCCGGCCCTCAGCTTGTCGATGAAGACCGTCAGGGCATTAATTGGCCTATATAGACCGCCTGACGTTCAACTTGTCTGTATAAACTGTCTGGCCTTCAACTGATCTATATAGACCGCTGGGCTATCAGCTAGTCTGTATAGACCGCTGGGCTATTAGCTAGTCTATATAGACCGCTGGGCTATCAGCTAGTCTATATAGACCGCTGGGCTATCAGCTAGTCTATATAGACCGCTGGGCTATCAGCTAGTCTATATAGACCATCCGGCCTTCCACTGGTCTATAGAGACCATCCGGCCTTCCACTTGTCTATAGAGACCATCCGGCCTTCCACTTGTCTATAGAGACCATCCGGCCTTCCACTGGTTTATAGAGACCATGCGGCCTTCCAATGGTCTGTAGAGACCATGCGGCCTTCCACTGGTCTATAGAGATCATCCGGCCTTCCACTGGTCTATAGAGACCATCCGGCCTTCAGCTGGTCTATAGAGACCATCCGGCCTTCCACTGGTCTATATTGATCATCCGGCCTTCAGCTGGTCTATGAAGACCATCGGGCTTTCAGTAAGTCTATGGAGATCATCCGGTCTTCAGGTGGTCTATATTGATCATCCGGCCTTCAGCTGGTCTATGAAGACCATCCAGCCTTCAGCAGGTCTATAGAGCCCATCCGGCCGTCAGCTGCTCTATGGAAACCCACTGACCTTCTAGCTGGTCTATGGAGACCCACTGACCTTTCAGCTGGTCTATGAAGGCCCACTGACCTTTCAGCTGGTCTATGAAGGCCCACTGACCTTCAGCTCGCCTATAAAGACTCCCTGACCTTCAGCTCGCCTATATAGACTCCCTGACCTTCAGCTCGCCTATATAGACTTCCTGACCTTCAGCTCGCCGATATAGACTTCCTGACCTTCAGCTCGCTTATATAGACTCCCTGACCTTCAGCTCGCCTATATAGACTCCCTGACCTTCAGCTCGCCTATATAGACTCCCTGACCTTCAGCTCGCCTATATAGACTCTCTGACCTTTAGCTCACCTATAAAGGCTCTCTGACCTTCAGCTCTATAACGTCTCCCTGACCTTCAGATCGTCTATAAGGACTCCCTGACCGCCAGCTAGCCTATAAAGGCTGTCTGACCCTCAGAATACGTATAAAGGCTCCCTGACCTTCAGCTCATCTCTTAAGGCTCTCTGACCTTCAGCTGGTCTATAACGTCTCCCTGACCTTCAGCTCGTCTATAAGGACTCCTGGACCTTCTGCTCGCCTATAAAGGCTGTCTGACCCTGACCTTCAGCTCGACGATAAAGGCTTCCTGGCTTTCAGCCAAATTTATAACCTCTACCAGGAAAAAATACTTTCCATCCAGTTCATGTCTCGCCTTGCTTATCTATTAATATCTCTCTCTCCCTCTTTTTAATTTCTCTTCAATTCTCCTCCCGTTAGAATAAATTGAGATAATCTTTCTTTCTCTTTCTAGGACTATCAGAAACTGCAAAAATATGGCGATCTCTTACTCTCCCTTGCAGCAAATTGTCGCAAACTTCAAACCGAATCGGAAAAAGTAGTTCCCTGGGGAGACTTTCGTGAAATGGAATCCGCAGATATACCACAGGAAGATTTCGTACTTCAAACCATCGATCTTCAATCCCATGTAGATTTAAATGAAGATGAGTTGAAAAGACAAATTGAACTGATGCAAAATTTTTGGCAGCGCCAATCGATTGCCGAGGCTCAGGCCATCATATTGGAAAAACGGAAACAAGAACTGCTCCAGGAGAATCAAATTTATATCGAAAAAATCAAATCCCTTAGTAAAACAGATAATGTTGAGGATTTGCGTAAGGCTTTACATGTTCAATGTGTGCTGGAGGAAGAACCTCAATGTCCTGGTTTCAAGAAATCTTAGATCTTCACTATTTTTAAAAATATTTTTTTTATAAAAAATACACATTTTATGTTTTTGGATTGAAATGGAAAACATCAAAGGAGAGAATTTTATAAAAACCCACAGCCCAATCTTTTTCGTGTGCAAAGCGACTGGGATGTTGGTGATAATATTCCAGCGAATTCTCGGAACAATCTCGGCGAAATCGTATAAAAATTTCGGCAAATATAATGCGATGGGGTGTGGAGATGACTTCTTGTGTTAGACGCAAATCTGCATCCAGAAATTGCAAAATTCGATTGACTTCGACAAGTTCTTCTATGGAATCGAAATCTTTGGTATTTCGTAGGCCCACAAACATCATGTCAATGAAACAGTATTTGCGACCTATTTTCAAAGGAGAGATAACTTCATGGATTATTTTTCTATTAAACATTTGTTGATCTTACCATAATTAACTTTCGTAACCACCTTCATTGGTATGGCCCTTCGTATGTGTTCGGTATCAAATCGCACCAACTTCAGTCGCACATCATCCCTTGAGAGCATCATGTCTCGCGTGATTTGTTGATATCCCAAGGGTGTGGTGAATTTACTAATGCTGGTCAAGTTTTGATTGCGTATTATGTCGGTTAAAACCACCGCCGCCTGAAAGTAGGCAATATATTTTTGGAGAGATTATTGAAATGGTTAGTATAGAAATCAAAGAAAGCCAAGTGAAAAAGCATTCGGTATCACCGAATTTAATTTGAGATATTCGTACCGAATTATTTTTATGTCATATTTTCAGAGTGTTTACTACTCTATACAGTCGAATATTTCTCCGAATATTGTATGAGATGACAACACTGTGCGACAAAAAAAAATAAACCAGTAAAGAAAGTCCTAAAGTCGGGCTGCGCCGACTTTATTGTTATAATTGAATTCGTTTATTGAACTGAAAAAAACTGAGAATACATATTTGACAACAAACATATTGATATCAAAGCCTATTAAGATTATGTTAATAATATTGGACAAAGTGTTTTATGCTAAAGTACAATATTTGATTCAATTCTCAACACTCTACCTGAATTAAATATTTCTTACATTATAATTACAAAACAATACAAGTTGGAAACTAAGCAATGCCAAAAACTCCTTTAAAATATTCCAACTTCTGTGGAGTTACTGCCTTGGTAAAAACGTCAGCAACCATTTCTTTTGTTGAAAGATACTTCAAAGATATTTCATTGTTGTCAATTTTCTGTTTGATAAATTTGGCTTTAATATCCACATGCTTTGTCCTTGACGAATACTTGTTATTTGTAGCCACTTGTATAGCTCCTTTGTTATCACAATACAAAACCATGTTGACATTGTTGTTGGGATTGAGTTCTTTTTCTAGTCGTTTCAACCAAACAGACTCCTGTATAGCTGCAGTTATTGCCATGAACTCAGCTTCCGTTGAAGATAGTGCCACCGTTTTTTGTCTTTTTGTGGACCAGGATATTGCTGCTGATTGAAAAATAAAGACATAACCAGTTGTCGAATGGCGGTCGTCCAAACTTCCAGCCCAATCTGCATCGCAATAGCCGGTAATATCTTCTTCTAAATTTTTCTTATAGATGAGCCCTTGTTCTATAGTTCCTTTGAGATAACGCATTATTCTTTTTACAGCTTCCCAATGCGCTCTACCAGGATTTATTCCGAATCGGCTCAGGATATTCACAGCATAGTATATATCAGGGCGCGAAACCTGAGCAGCGTACAACAAGCACCCAATAGCTTCCATATACGGTGTTTTCGACATTTTTTTCCTTTTCAACTTCGGTTTTAGGGGACATACTTTCGTATAACTTCTTATTATAGTCCATTGGAGTTGAGGAAGGGTTACAGTCATTCATTCCGAAACGTGTCAATACATCTGATATGTACTTAGACTGATCAATTTTGATTCCATCTTCAGTTCGGGATATTGTCATACCAAGAACATTAGACACTTCCCCCATGTCTTTCATTTTAAATGTTCTTGAAAGTGTATTCTTGACAGAATTTATTTCGTTTTCGTCATTGGAGAATATAATTACATCATCTACGTATATTGCAATATAAATCTTCTTTTCATCTGTCACCTTTGAATATACGCATTGATCCACTTCTCCTTGTACAAAACCCATATCGATAAGTTCCTTGTTTATGGTTTCATTCCATACTCTCCCAGATTGTTTCAAGCCGTATATGGATCTGTTAAGCTTACAGACTTTATTAGAAGCATCACGGAAACCTTCGGGTTGTTCCATATATATGGTTTCTTTTAAAATCCCGTTTAAATAAGCGCTAACGGCATCCATCTGATGAATCTTCATGTCATATTTTGCTGCCAATGCTGCTAAATACCTTATTGATTCATACCGAACAACTGGAGAGAATGTTTCCATATAATCGATACCTTCAGTCTGTGTAAATCCCTTTGCGACTAGTCTTGCTTTCCATCGCAACGTGTTTCCATTGGAATCTTGCTTGGTCTTGAACACCCATTTTGACTTCAGAGCTTTGCATCCTTCAGGAAGTTGAACCAAAGTCCAAGTATTATTGACTTTCAAAGAATTCATTTCATCTTGCATGGCTTTTTTCCAATGTTCAGAATCTTCAGACGACATTGCCTGTTTTATAGTCTGGGGGTCTGAAGAAACATATTCTATTGCAGAAAATGCCGTTGATCGTTGATTACGGTTTGCTATCCTTTCTGATCTTCTAATATTTTCAGACGTTGGTATTGGTCGTGAATTACATTGATTTGGTTCCCATTCTTCATCATTTGGGTCCACATAGCCATTGTTATCAAAACATTCTGAATCCAAAAACTCACTATCAGTTTCAGAATCACTACGAGGCTCATTTTGAATTACATTATTGCCATCCAATTCGGTTGACTCCATATTCGTTGATACATTATTCACTGTTTGGTTCAAAACATTATCCATTTCTTCATCTGGAGATTGAATTAGCAAAGGATTGTACAGATTAGAAGATGGCGTTTCAATGTTTGAGTGAACATTTTCAAGAAATACCACGTCACGGCTAACAATTATTTTTTGATCACTTGGATCAAATAATCGATACGCTTTACTTTCCGTGCTGTATCCAACCATGATACATTCTAATGACTTTGGATCAATTTTAGATCTTCGTTGTTTTGGTACATGGACCAAAGCTGGACATCCGAAGACTCTAAGATGCTTCAAATTTGGTTTTCGACCCGACCATAGTTCTTCGGGACATCCTTCATTTCCTCGGCATGGCACTCTATTTATCAAGTACGATGCGGTAGAAGCAGCTTCTGCCCAAAAACGTTGATCTAATCCACTGTCGATAAGCATACATCTTACCCTTTCTATAATCGTCCTATTTATTCGCTCGGCTACACCATTTTGCTCGGGTGTATATGGACATGTTTTTTGATGTATTATTCCACTTTTTTTCAAGAATTCAGAAAAATGTTTGCCGGTGTACTCACCCCCATTATCCGATCGTAGAATCTTGATTTTTTTAGAACACTGGTTTTCCACTAAAGCCTTGAATTCTAAAAATTTCGGAAATACCTCAGACTTTTTCTTGATTGGATAGACAAACAGTTTTCTTGAGTAGTCATCCACAAATGTCAACAAAAAACGAGCTCCCGAGAACGAACTTTCTTTTAGTGGACCAACAACATCCGAATGAATAATTTCCAATAGCTCTTTGGCTTGAGTACCGACTTCTCTACTCACTTTTCGGGTTTGCTTTCCCTTCACGCAGACAACACATGGTTCAGAACATTCTTTGCCAAAATTTATGCCAACATTTGCGCTCTTGACATCACCCAGTTTCGCATTACAGATATGCCCCATCCTTCGGTGCCACAAATTGAAATCATTGGCCATGGTAAAAGCTTTACCCTTTTCCTCTTTCGAATTGCATTCTAACCGGTACAATTGATTCTGCGCAGTTGCCGTTGCTATAACACGTCCATTTTTATCAGAAATGCGGCATTTTTCACCTTCAAAAGTCACCCTTTTTCCATTCTTAGCCATTTGTCGAACGGAGAGTAAGTTGGTACACAAATCTGGAACATACTCCACGTCTTTGATTGTAACACATCTCTTATTTTTTCCAGAGCCAACTTCAATATCAACATATCCAATGGAGTCCACTACGAGTTCATGCTTATTCGCAATAATCACCTTTTTATTAAAAACATCACGGATGTTGTACATGTGGTTCTTCTCATTCGTCATGTGGTTGCTTGCTCCACTATCAACGTACCAGGCATTTAAACAATCTGAACTTGAAGTGGATTCCGTAGCTTTTGCACACGCGCTCACATCGGTAGTTGTAGCAAATAAAACATCCGACTTCTTTTCATGCTTCCTTGTAGCTCCATTGTCATTTGGCTTCAATTTGCTGGGACAATTTCTTGAGATGTGTCCAAGTCCACTGCAATTGTAGCATTTGATTTGCTTCTTACCTTTCTTGATACCTTTAGATTGTAACGCCGATTCTTTTTCTGGAGCTCGATCGAATTTCGCATCTTGAAGTAGAACATTCTTCACCTTATCCACCGTCAATTTCTCCTTGGTATTTTCCACGGCCATCACAAGCGGTTTAAAGTCATCCGTTAATCCAGCTAACATTAGAGATGCAGTCAACTCATCGTCAATGTTTAAGCCAGCATTTTTCACTTTAATAGCCACTATAACGATGTCATTGACGTATTCCTGAATGGATCCATAGTTCTGTAGCTTGATGTTCACAAATTGCTTCAGCAATTCAACTTTTCTGGTAAGGCCCGTATCTTCGTACGCATTCATCAATGCACTCCAGGCATTTTTCGCGGTAGTTGAAGTTGCAATGTGGCCGTAATTGTCTGGTTCAATCATCAATGTTATCTCGGCTAAAGCTCTCGCATTCAATTCAGCATCAGCGGTATTATCAACACATGCCTTCCAGCACCCTTTAATGACCAGATATGATTGCGCTTGCCTCTTCCAAACATCAAAGTTTTCGCGTCCACGCAATCTTTCTAGCGGAAAAGCTATGTTATTACCAGCCATTTTAATTTTTTTTCACAAACGTCACTAGTTTTCAATATTAAAAAATGTATCTATTTTGTTTTGCCGAATATTTTTTTCAAACGTGACTAAGGCCCATAACCTGTTATAATTGAATTCGTTTATTGAACTGAAAAAAACTGAGAATACATATTTGACAACAAACATATTGATATCAAAGCCTATTAAGATTATGTTAATAATATTGGACAAAGTGTTTTATGCTAAAGTACAATATTTGATTCAATTCTCAACATTTATGATATCCTACACCACTTTGCTTATTTAGTAGAGTTTCACATAACAATTAAAAGTTTTTATGGGAGAATTTAATACACGCTATGATTATAATTTAAATTTCAAAGGACTAAATATGCCGAAGCATTTTTATCTTTAAAATTCGGAATTGTATTGCCCATTTGGTGCAAAATTAATTTGAAATCAGATAAAGATATATATGGGAGCTATATCCAAATCGGAACCGATCTCGATAAAATTTGGCAAAGATATTTCTGAGCTGTATTTGATATATTTCCCTGAATAACGTTGTTACGGAGTGCATATTACGGCTGTGGCTAATAAATACAACAAATCGGATGAACAATATATTTGGGAGCTATAGCTATATCTGAACCGATCTTCACCAAATTTGGCATACTGGCTCCTAGACTCAATTCGGTCGCATGTTCCCAATTCCATCCTATTTGGGCAAATATTAGACATTTGGTGTACAATAAATCGGACGAAGTTATATATGGGAGCTATATCCAAATCGGAACCGATCTCGAAAATATTTAGCAAATGTATTTCTGAGCTGTATTTGATACATTTCCCCAAATAATGTTGATACAGAGTGCATATTACGGCTGCGGAGGACAAAAATAACAAATCGGATGAACAATATATATGGGAGCTATAGCCATATCTGAACCGATTTCGTTCAAATTTGGCAATTTCGGATTGATATTACAAGTTTGGTGCACAATAAAAGGCAAATCGGATGAAGATATATATGGGAGCTATATCTAAATTTTCTCCAATTTCAATAGGGTTCGTCCTTGGGCCAAACAAATGATTTGTGCAAAATTTCATCTGGATAGGGCAATAAATGCGAACTGTACTTTGTTTACAAAAATACATGGACAGACGGACGGACATGCATAAATCGACTCAGAATGTGATTCTATGCAGATCATCAAAAGGAACTATGGGTCTATCTCGTTTCCTTTTGCCTGTTACAAACAAATGCCAAAATCCCAAAAGACCTCATTATTAACTCGCTTGAAAATATTCCTCGTATTTTTATCTGCAAAATTGCCGAAAGCACTATATACCTGAAATGCACGAATTCTGAGGAATCTAAATTCGAAAATTTCCAAAAGTTTAAAATTGGGGGAACTTGTCTCCTATATTTTTAGTTTTTTATGTTAACTTTAAAACCGGCGATAAACGTGTCTTCTTTTTTAGCTCTACTTTCATAATCTGCTGGATTTTCCCCATAATTCCTTGTAATTATTATTTATGTCGTACAGTGTTATTATTATGGCCTACAATATTCGGTGGTCATTCAAAAGCAATATTCGGCTGTACGACGTACTAAACACATTATGTTTTAGAACTCTTGGTTGTGTGCTTGACTAACTAAAACTATAAGTTAGTCAATTCAACAACCGTGACTACCCATTATTTACACTCTCAGTTACCCCATTGCTATTGTGAATTGTCATTCATTTGAAAAACCAACCAAACACATATTGTGCCCGCCTTTGAAATTACCTTCTTGGCACCACGAATAAATTCCTCTTCGACAAATTCGCGATCCCAAAACATTTGCATTTTCATCAAATTGAACCGGGCCTTCCAATACGTCCAGGGATTATTCAAATACACCAATGTGGGTATGACTTTGCGACGCCGTTGATTCAACTCCATTTGACGTTTCCATTGATGATTTCGGCGATTCGACTTGGAGTTCAGAGAATTTTGAAATTTTCGTAGCAGGAGAGGATGATGGGTTATAAATTTATTTAATTCATTGCCAAATTTAAAATTACTTGAAATTTTTATAAACATTTTTTTGTGAATTGAAATTTTTGTTTTTAAATTTTTTTGAAGTTATTTAAATTTTGAAGGAAAATGGGAACCAAATGCCAAAAAGAATTAAAGAGTTGCCAAATAATTTTTACGTAGAAGATCTCTTAAATGGGTTGAAAAGGGCTCTTGAAAGTGGTTTCTAATTGTCTACACCTTTTTCAGTTATAATTGATTCATTTCGAATTATTTTATTTGTTATGCGAGTTATTCCATTTGTAATTCGAATTATTCCAATTGTAATTCGAATTATTAAATTTTTTAATTCAAATTTTTTCCTTCGATTTTTAAATCGAACTATTCGAATTGCAATTGGAATAATTCGAATTTCAATTAAAATAATTCGAATTACAAATGGAATAATTCAATCTGCAATTGAAATAATACGAATTACAATTGGAAAAATTCTCAAATTACAATTAAAATGTTTCGAATGACATCTGAAAAAGGTGTATACATAGAAGACCCTGCAGAAAATGCTATGCATAGAAGACGTCCTACAGGTCCTCTATAGAATTAAAACCTTCTAAAGGTCTTCTATTTATAGAATACCTCCTATAAAATTTGTCCTCGTCTTGTTTCTCCTATTTTTTCTTCGTCTCCTCCTCAAGGTCTTCTGGGGATAAAAGACCTACTAAAGGTCTTTTGAGGATAGGAGGCCTACTTTTGCTCTTCTAGGGACAGAAAACCTCCTATGAGTCTTCTAGGGACAGAAGACCTCCTATAGGTCTTCTGGGGACATTAGACATCCCACAGGTGTTCTAGGCACAGAAGATTTCCTACAGCTCTTCTGTATATAAAAACGTCCTACAGGCATCCTGTGGATATAAGACCCCTTTCAGGTGTTCTAAATACAGAAAACGTCTTTTTGACCTACTAAACCTACTAAAGGTCTTTTGAGGATAGGAGGCCTACTTTTGGTCTTCTAGGGACAGAAAACCTCCTATGAGTCTTCTAGGGACAGAAGACCTCCTATAGGTCTTCTGGGGACATTAGACATCCCACAGGTGTTCTAGGCACAGAAGATTTCCTACAGCTCTTCTGTATATAAAAACGTCCTACAGGCATCCTGTGGATATAAGACCCCTTTCAGGTGTTCTAAATACAGAAAACGTCTTTTTGGGATAGAATGCCATAGGTCTTCTGTAGAAATAAGACCTCCTAGAGGTCTCCTACAGGATGTTTCTTGTGTCTCCAACAATTAGAACAGCTGACAATAATATTTCGATGTGCCAAGTTTGGACCTAATAGGATACCCCCTTCGATAGTTATCGTTTGCACCAGCCAGACAGAGGGACGGATGGACACCCCTAGATTGACTCTAAATATCCTGAAACGGATTTGGTACAAAGAGTCCTTAAGAGGGCCTAAAACCTATGAGGCACGTTTGGGTTGTGCGAAGTTCAATATTTTGACTGTTTTTGCGAGGGGTATGTAAATGAGTTCATATTGTCCATTTCAAACTCGATCTAAGTTTAATGGATAGTAGATAGTTCTTTCGTGACTTACAGTGGGTACCAACCAGCTAGAGGGATAGGCAAATGAGCATTGCTGGACTTTTGCCGAAACGGATTTCATCCAAAGGTATATTGGATATGAGATCGGTATACCGTTCAGATCCATTTTATAGGACTGCCGAAAACAGAGGACCTCTTAAGATCTACAGACGGGTCATTTTAAGAGACCCTTTGCAGGTCTTCCAGAAACAGAGGACATTTTACTGGCCTTCCAAGTACTACTTACACATTTTCTATAGAAGGAATATATAGTATTGCAGGACTTCTTTAAACAGATGGCCTTTTACGGAACCTATGTAGAAAAAAGGCTTGTAACAAGTCCTCTGTAAACAGATTATCATTAACAAGTCTTCCAAAGAGAGAATATCTTTTGCAGAACTTTCAAGGACAAAAGCCCTTCCTTATACCGAAGACCTTTTATGGGCTTTGTCCAAATTGATGGGTTTGCACAGGTCTTCTGCATATGGAAGGACTTCTAAGGGGTCTTCAGTAGGTCTTTTTTATACGGAAATAACTTTCAATGCATATTTGAAAAAGGAAGACAGTTTCAGAATATGAGAGCTTCTTTAGATCCTCTGATGGCAGATTTTCATTCTACATCGGGGACCATTTTCAATACTACCATAGCTCAAGGACTTTTAATAGACCTTCCATAGTTCTTCCATATGTAGAAGGTTAGGAAGGTTTCTTCTGGCCCCTGCAGTGAAATCTCAGCAAAGGCTAATGAACGCTCAAGCATATTCGCAAGGTATATTTTTTTAATTTTATAAATTTAAATCAGAAAATTCACAAAAGGAGAAATGAGAAACGCCAGCAAGAAGGAAAGACGCACACACACAAACGGATGAACCAACAACAACAAAAAGAAAAGAAACAACAGCAAGAAGTTACGCGTTGTCTTGCTGGACAAGACAAACTGGATTTCTTCGCTGAATATCAATTCTCAGCATTCAAACTTGTCTTTAATTCACGTTATGCCTGACTTCGTTTTACCTCGCCCCCCAAAACTTCCCCCCTCACCTTAAATCTACTACTACTGAGAGTTGGCCTGAGAGTTTTGTTCTTAAAGCTAATCTGGGCAGTGCTTCGATGCTATTTCATATTCAAGTTGGACCACAACGAACGACGCTGACGTCGACAACGAAGTATGACAATATGCAAGAAAAAAGGATCCTGCTGGCCATGCTCCAGCCATCCATCCAAGCCACTTTTGGCCACAATGAATAAAAATAAAAATTCACAGCTAAACTTGTTTTTTGGTCGTAGTTCTTTTGTTGTTATTTTCCTTCCTGGCGGTTGTCCCTCCATTTGCAGTTAAGACCGGCCTCTGATGGAGTAAAAAAAATTCTGGATTGCTTGCGGGCTGGTTAGCTAGCTGACTGACGGCTTGACTCTTAGTGCTAAATTGCAATTTGGGGGACTAGAATACAACAGCTCATCATCGTCGCGATCATCATCATCATGATCATGGCCAACAACTCTGGCACTTTTCATTGGAAGAGAGACCAGAACGGAGCTCATCATTAAGTCGTGTAATAAGCCAGCAATGTGGCGTCTCTAAATATAACCATTCAAGGCTATCCATGACTCATGATGGAAACAAAGATAGTCGACGGCGGCCAGGCGAACAGACAAACCGACATCTAGGCCTGCATGGCAATAGAGAAGACATTCCCCCTGGGGGAATTGAGGATCAGTGTGATTTTTCTTCGCTTTTAAATACCAAAACTGGATTTCCAAGAAGAATCATAAGAAGGAGAAAAACGAAGAAGAACAAAAGCTAAATGACTTTTGGACTTTTGATCTTTTCCGTAAAAAATGCGAATAAATTTAGAATGGAAATTGTTGTCGGCAGAAGAAGAACTTCTTTGGTGGCAAGGAATGGGTGGAACTTTAATAAGTCTTTGGAAAATAGGAGATGTTTTATGAAAGAAAAAACTGTTCTAATTATTGGAGAATTGCAAAAAAAAAAACTGAAGAAGACCTGCAAGACGTCTGCAAATTATAGAAGACGTTTAAGGGATCTATGTGAGACCTTCTGTTTATAGAAGACCTGTTTAATGTATTCTATCCATAGAAGACCTTTAGGAGGTCTATAGAAGAGCAGGACCGTAGGTTCGACCCGTAGGTTCTTTTCTGTCTATAGAAGACCTGAAGGAGGTCTTCTATCTATAGAAGACCTGAAGGAGGTCTTCCATCTATTGAAGACCTGTAGGAGGTCTTCCATCTATTGAAGACCTGTAGGAGGTCTTCTGTCTATAGGAGACCTGTATGAGGTCTTCTATCTATAGAAGACCTGTAGGAGGTCTTCTATCTATAGAAGACCTGAAGGAGGTCTTCTATCTATAGAAGACCTGTAGGAGGTATTCTATCTATAGAAGACATGTAGGAGGTCTTCTATCTATAGAAGACCTTTGCGAGGTCTTCTATCTATAGAATATCTGTAGGAGGTCTTCTATCTATAGAAGATCTGTAGGAGGTCTTCTATCTATAGAAGATCTGTAGGAGGTCTTCTATTTATAGAAGATCTGTAGGAGGTCTTCAATCTATAGGAGACCTGTAGGAGGTCTTCTATCTATAGAAGACCTGTAGGAGGTCTTCTATCTATAGAAGGCCTGTAGGAGGTCTTCTATCTATAGAAGACCTGTAGGAGGTCTTCTATCTATAAAAGACCTGTAGGAGGTATTCTATCTATTGAAGACCTGTAGGTGGTCTTCTATCTATAGAAGACCTGTAAGAAGTCTTCCATCTATAGAAGACCTCTAGGAGGTATCCTATCTATAGAAGACCTGTAGGAGGTCTTTCATCAATGGAAGACCTGTAGAAGGTCTTCTATCTATAGAAGACCTGTAGAAGGTCTTCTCTCTATAGAAGACCTGTAGGAGGTCTTCTTCTATCTCTAGGAGGTCTTCTATCTATTGAAGACCTGTAGGAGGCCCTCTATTTATAGAAGACCTCTTGGAGGACTTCTACCTATAAAAGGCGTGTAGAAGTTCTTTTATCCACAGAAGACCTATAGAAGGCATATATGAGTTATTCTATTTCTAAAAGACCTGTAGGTCCATATGTCCTCGATATGGCTTCAATGCCTATCCCGGGTACAACCGTGCCTGTAGATGTCTATTGAAAATCAGTCTCTGTCTATGGAATATTGATATCCTTTTTATCCTGGATGACCTTAATGGATAATATTCCAATCTATGGTGTCTATAACTAGGGGATTCCGAAACATTCACTTCCAGATATCCAACCCTTTTCTTCCCATCACAATTTGTTGTGCATTTCCTACAACATGACTAACCAAATCAGGTTATTCTCAACAACAACGCATTAGCACTTTTTATTATTGTTAGCTTCCCATTTTCGCCAACAATGACATCCTCCTTTGCATTTTGAAATCATTCAAATGCCATAAAACATTTTAAATGCATATCGACTTTGAAACGCCGCAACATTTGTGCGC